AGTGACTTCTGAATTTCTGAATCCAATGGACGTATTTCAGTCCTTGTGCTGTTGGACCTCTCTACTGCATTTGACTCCATTTATCAATCTTCCTCTTTAAATATCTCTGCTTCCTTAGCTTCTTTGACACTACTCTTTCCTGTTCATCCTTAAAACTCTGTCCTTTACTTCATGGACTTTTCATGGACTCCTCCTCTCCCATCTTAGTTTAAAGAGTGGCATTATCCAAGGTATTATAATTATGTTGCTCTTCCTGTGTCCACCCATACATTGTCCTCAAGAGCTCTCATCCACTTTGATAGTTTTAACTACCTCCATGTGTTGACATTTCCAAAATCTCTCTGACATCTCTTCTATATTTCAAATTCCTATATCTAACTGCCTGCTGGATATCTTTACATGGAAGTCCCATAGACACCTCAGACTGTGTCCAAATAGTCATATTCACTATTGCTTACTCACCCACCCTTGAAACAACACTTCTAAGTTCCAATTTCAGTTTTATGGGACAACTACCCACCCAACTGCCAAACTAGGATTCTAGGAGTTATTTTAGACTTCTCTAGGTACTTCCCTCTCTTTTATCTCCCACAGTCAGTCACTAAGTCTTTCTATTTTTAAAGCTAGATATTTCTCCAGTCTCCCTGCTCTTCTCCCTACTATGACCTTTCTAGTCCATGCCCTCATCATCTCTTCGCTGGTCTGTTATATTTGCCTCAAAACTGACCTCTTTACTTCCAGGTTTGCTCCGCTTAAATGCATCCACCATATTGTAGCCAGAGGAGAGATTTATCTAAAACATACAATTGGCCATGTCACTTACTGCATAAACCACTTTGAGGCTTCCCAACCCACAAAATGAAGTCTAGGTTCTTTAGCATAACATATAAGCCTCTTTTTAATCTGACCCCTTTTTGCCTCTCCCATCTCATCCCCTTGTATTCTACTCTCCAGCAATTCCAAATTGCAAGAAGTTCCTGTAAACCTCTGTGCTTTTTTCATGCGTTTTCCTCAGCCTCAAATATTCTGCTGAACCCTTCTCCTCAAATTAACTATTTTTCATTCTTCCAAGTTTAGCTAAGGCATCATCTCTTCAGTAGCCTTCTCCAGACCCAGGTATTGGGCTAAGTGCCTCTGCTTCTTTGCACTCCTGTATTCCTTATGCATACCTCTCTTACCTTTTAACAAATGAGATTGAAATCCTCTGTTCATGTGTCTGTTTCCCACACTGGACTTGTGAGTAACCTGGCTGTTGTACTCATTTTGTACCCCTAGCATCTAGTGTAATACTTGATGCCACATAGCTGCTCAAGGTTTGTTGAACAGATTATTTGAATGGAACACATCATGCTCATTTCTGTCTCTGCCATACCTGATTGTTCTCATCCCCTGAAATGGTCTTATCTGCTTTCCTTAAAATTCAAATCCTTCCTGTTCTCTAAGATCCATCACAAGTTCCCTCACTGCTCTAGCTCTCGGTATTCTCCCCTTTCTCTGATTTCCTGTAGGCTTTACTGTTCATTGACAATTACATCAATTATAACCCCTCAACTGAATTAGCCTCCTTGAGACAAGATACTATATTTTATTCTGCAATATCCTTCTCTGTTTTATATTGTAATGGGTACATAGTTTTATGTCAGTTCATATTTACTAATTGTTTATTGAGAGACTGTGTGGTGTACGGAGATAAACATAGATTTGTAGATATGTTTGAAGTCACTTTCTCAGTCGAGCTTCAAGTTCCTCAGGTATAAAATAAAAATAATGGTACTTCACAGGATTGAATGAGGATGAAATGAAATAATATATACAGTACCTGTCATATATTAGGTCCTCAACAAATGTTAGTTTTTTATGAAATGTTTTTGTTATCCTGTCAATTTAAAAACAAGTAAATTGGACCTTTTTGTATTTTTTTTCTTAAGATAAATCCCACATTAAGTTGCATGTTTACTTACATGTAGCTCTCAATTGTTTTTTCCCCATTTAAGATATTAGACCAATGGTTCTCAACTGTGACTACACATTACAATCATACAGGGAACTTTTAGAAATACCAATGCTCAGGCCATCCCTTAAATCAGTTGAATTAGAATCTGTGGAACCTAGGCATCAGTGTTTCGTTTTCTCTGTTTTTAACTCCCCCAAGTGATTCCAATGTGGAGCTGAAATTGAGAACCACAATGTTAAACTAAAAAGACATGCGTTTTCCCAATCCATGTTTTGAAAACAAGACCTTAATCTGGGAAGTTTATGAGATAGGGCTCTGATTAGAATAGTGGGCCCCCCAAATATTAGGTTATGGAAGATTCTGAAAGGTACAAGATGCAAAGAATCCTGCATTTCTGGGAGAACCCATAAATAAGCAATCTTAGCAGGGCCAACGGCAGTGAAGCTGGGCAGGGTCAAGGAGCAGACTCTTGAGATAGGAGAATGGAGAGATTGAGAAACATAGTGGAAGCAGGTTCTAGGAGGATTAAACCAGGAATTCTGACCTTGGAGCCAATGATAGCCTTCATATCTCCACAGACAGGGTTTACATAGTTATTATATATTATCTTCTGAGAGGTCTATATCCTAGAAAAAAATGAAGGACATTATTATGTAAAAAAGGTGAGAGCTAAGGTGATAATTATCAGACCATAGTTCTAGAACTGTCTCTGGCTCCTGCACCTCCTTCAAACCCCTGTATTACCTATATTAGAATCTTTTTTCTGATGTCATTTGTGGAGAAAGAATGGAGGAACTAAAAGAACATTATATACAATATACTTTATAATTATAAGCACTAAACAAATACTACATAAAAGTCTCTGAACTATAGTCTAAGTTTATCATCAAATGAAGATCATTGGCTTTATTATCTAGGCAGTGTTTCTCAATCATGGCTTCTTCACAGTAAAATCATCTGGCAAGCTTTCAGAAAGTACAAAAGCCTAGTTCTACACCTAGAGATTCTGATTTAATTCTTCTGATATAGAGCCGCAAGATGAGTATTTTTAAAGTTTGCCACTTGATTCTAATGTGTAACCAGCATTGAGAACCACTAATCTAGAGGAAACCAGGACTCTTGGCTTCTCTTGCATAACTTTGGCATCTTCAAAATGTATGGTATTGGCCAAGCAAATCTGAGCCTTAGTTTCTACACTCATAAACTAAGGATAATAATAATTTCCTTTAAAAGGCTTGTTGTGAGGTTGCAGAGTCCTGGGTTTAATCCTTAGCTTTATGGGAAGTCCAGAATCTTCAGAGTTAATCAGTCTCAAATCAGGGCCTCACTAACCACAAACAAACTTGGAAGAGGCTGATAAATAACCAAAGAACTGGGAAAGTATGCCCTTTCTATTTCCTCCACATTTTCTCATAATAAATCACCTGGTGTACTTGTTAAAAATACAAATTCCGTGTCCCTGCCCCAGACAAAGTGAATCATAGTCTCCAGGGGAGGGGCCTGGGGAGCTATATTTTTAACTAATATCCCAAATGATTCTTATCAAAGAAGTCTGGGAAACATTGTAGTTTAAATTAATGTGTTGTCATTCTGGTGACCCTATAGGACAGAGTAGAACTGCCCCATAGGGTTTCCAAGGAGCAGATGGTAGATTTGAACTGACCACTTTTTGGTTAGCAGCCAAGCTCTTAACTACTGCAGCACCAGGGCTCCTGATTTATAGTAGGAGGAGACATATATTTCCAGTTTTCAGGTTTCTGTGTCTGCCATCCAAGGAATCCTCTTCTTGGTATCAAAGAATGTGGGAAACAAAATTATCATCAGAAGATGACTCAGTGAACATGAAATCAGAGCACAGATGGGAGGGTAGTTTTAAGTAATCATTCATTCACATGTTGATAAAACCTGATGAGCTCTCCTGGGCCCACAATAGAGTATATCTCATGATTAAGCACAGTTCTCATGTTCTTCGAAGTCACCATCTTTCTTTCCTCTTGACAGTAGTCTCCTTTTTTCTGTGAATAGCCCTTGCTTGGAAAAGACCAATACATTTCATAATGTTTAAGTCAATGGCCTTTAAATTATTAGACTGCTCTTTTATTTAAAAGATGATGACCTTGGTTGTCCCTAAAATATCCTCAGCCATCACTTTATTCTCTTCCTTAGGGTGAAATTATTTTTATATTTGGCTTATGAAATTTTTTAATTTGTTTCTTCTGACCAAAGAGAAAGTGGAAGGATGATGAGATTAAGAAAATAAAAATTGATCCCCTGCTTCCAATTCTACCTAAGAAGCAGGATATGGAGGTAGCTGGTATAGGGTTCTTATTCTATAGTTTTTGACTCTTTTGAAGTGGTAACTAGTAGTTTTGTTTAGAATTTGCTTTCAGCTTTTATCCTGAGAGTGGGGCTCACTGAACCTCTCTCCTTTCTAAAACCACATCTGTCTGTGGAAATTACTTTAGGTAAACTAATGAACTACAGTGGTTTCTGGTAAGAGTGAAAATTTGCTTTTATTTGTCTTTATTCTTTTGGGAACATTTCAGGTTTTGGTTGAGTGGAAAGACAATTAGGTGCAAACAAGAGTTTTGCTGAGGGATTAAGAGGCAAAGGTTTGTTGTGCATGTTAAATTTGAGGTGCCTGGTAGACATCCAGAAACTCTGGTGGTGTAGTGGTTTAGAGCTAGCTACAGCTGCTAACCAAAAGGTTGGCAGTTCAAATCCACGAGGCACTCCTTGGAAACCTTATGGAGCAGTTCTTCTCTGTCCTGTAGGGTCACTATGAGTGTGAACTGACTCGATTGCAGTGGGTTTGGTTTTTGGTTTTGGTGGTCATCCATGTAGTGATATTAACCAGGAAGATAGCAATTTCTTAGGAAAGAAGTCAGGTCTAGGGAAGCAGTGTGGTGTAGCAGAAAGAATTCTGGGCTTTAAATTAAGAGCCGTGGGCTCTGAGGGGCTAACTTTATTACTGTCCAACTCTAACATTATGTGATTCTATGTGTATCCTACTGACCATCTTAACTTGAACTTCCTGTTTTTTCAGCATTTAATATGAGAACCTACATTTGCCATATTTATAGCATTACCTTTATATCTTCAGAAATGTTCCGGTCCCATATGCAAGGAAATGAACATCAAATTAAAAGTAAGTATTTTTTGCCAAAATGTTCCCGTGACACTGAACACCAGGGCCTCTGTCAAGTACCCTTCCATGTATTTTACAAGCTTTCTAGGCATTCATTCCTTTATGAGTTGATCCTAAATTTGGTTGGTGGTATTTGTAACATATTCTAGCATCCTCTAGGGAATTCCCTAGCCATGATAATGTATTGGCAGACCTGGCTAACTGGTACCACTCTTTACCAGACCAGTATTGTCCTTTCTTGAAGGATGCTAAAGGGGTATTCTCAGGGTAATCATACAAATTCAAAGAATCCTTGCAAGGTTGGCTTAGTTCCAGGGATTCTGTGGCCAGGTCATCATCCTTCCAGTGAGGTACAGTAGTTAAGAACAAAGGTATTGTTGTTAACAGAGAGCTCCTGACAGAGCAGGAGAAAAGTAGGGTGCAGAACTCAAATTCTAGTAAAAAGACGAGACTTAATGGTCTGACTGAGACTGGAGGAACCCCAGAAGACATGGCCCCTGGATTCTCTGTTAACCCAGAACTAAAACCATTCCCAAAGCCAACTCTTCAGACAAAGATTAGAGTGGACTGTAAGACATAAAATGATACTTGTGAAGAGTTTGCGTCTTAGTTCAAGTAGATACATGAGACTAAATAGGCAGCTCCTGTCTGGAGGTGAGATGAGAAGGCAGAAAGGGATAGGAGCTGGTTGAATGGATACAGGAAATCCGGGGTAGAAAGGATGAGTGTGCTGTCACATTATAGGGATAGCAGCTAGGGTCACATAACAATGTGTGTATAAATTTTTATATGAGATACTAACGTGAGCTGTAAACTTTCACTTAAAGCTCAACAATAATAAAAGAACAAAGGTGTTGTTAGACAGATCTGGATCCATCTTTTAACAAGTGTGTAACTTTGGACAACTGTTATAAGGTTGTTACAGTGAAATGAAATAGTATGTGTAAGGTGCTTGGCCTGGCACATGATAGGAGCTCAATAAATATTTAGTCCAGTCTATTATGTTATTTTAAGCAGGGGAGGATTGAGGGGACGGTTAGGGACTGGGTAATTCAGGTGGCAGGTCATTATTGTTGTTGTTATGTGCCATTGAGTAGATCCTGACTCATAGTGACCCTATAGAGCAGAGTAGAACTGACCCATAGGGTTTTCAAAGAGCAGCTGGTGGATTTGAACTGCTGACCTTTTGGTTAGCAGCTGTAGCTCTTAACCACTGTGCCATAACTATGGTGTATTTGGTTTTTCTTTTCTTTTTTTTTTTTTTTTGCTTTTCAAATCAAAGCATAGTATTTCTGTTACATTATTTCATTCTAGTAGAAAATTTTTACACTATTTGAGTGTGAATACTTGAGTGTAAATTGTCTGGCTTAACAAATTGATCTTTATTTAGACTTAGAAAAGAAAAATCTCAAGGTTCCAGAATAAATAACCATCACATTTATAGATCTATACAAGGAACTGACTAACCAAAATTTTGGAAGTAATGTGACACTCAGATCAGACCACCCATCAAAACAAAAAAAAAATCCATTGCCATCGAGTTGATTCCAACTCATAGCAGCCCTACAGGGCAGAGTGGAACTGCCCCATAGGGTTTCCAAGGCTGTAATCTTTATGGAAGCAGACTGCCATATCTTTCTCCTACGGAGCGGCTGGTGGGTTCAAACTGCTGACCCACCAGGGCTCCTTGACCATCCATGAGGACTTTAGATATTATTGGTCCTTACCCATATTTCCCAACATGCCTTACGTTTTTAGTACTACAACAGCATCAGACATGCCATCTTCTTTATACCTGTCCTCCTTTTCATCCCAGCCCTAAGAAATTTTCTGTGTAAAAATCGTGAGGTCCCTAGGAGATAATTTGACTATCCTTACTGCTTCTTTTTGGCATAAAAATGCATGATTCAGAGATTTTATATTGAGGTAGGTTTTTAAAATTCTAGGCATTTTATTTTGTTTTGTTTTGCTCTTTGAGGCTAGTATTTTTGAGAACAAAGAAAATATTCAGAATAAAATCATTTAGTAACAAGAACTTTGTACCATCTTCTTTGCAGAGAAACGCTTGTTATCAATCTAGTGAAAAATTCAAAGACACAAGAGCCTTTCCAACATGAATGTGAAGATTACATCAACATGCAGAAAGCCAGAGAACTACAGCCAAACACTTGTTTCAGAAAGATGGAAGAGAGCTTCTTGGAAACATGTGAGTACAGAGAAGTGATCGATTTTGGACCGAAACAAAGAATGTTTGAGCAAAGATTCCCATATGAGACTTTCCAGACATACCCAGGACCACACAATATTTCACAAGCAGTGGAAAACCAGTTACCTCATTACTTACCAGCTCATTCACAGAAGGGGTATGACTCTTTCCAAGATGAACTGGAGGATTACATTAAAGAGCAGAAAGCCAGAGGACTAGAGCCAAAAACTTGTTTCAGAAAGATGGAAGATAACTTTATGGAAACCCATGGGTACAGAGAAGTGGTTGATTCTGGACCTAGACATAGAATGTGTGAACAGAGATTTTCATTTGAGACTTCCCAGACCTACCAAGGACCATACAGTGTTTCACCAGAGGAAAACCAGTTATTGTATAGGTTACCAGCTTCTTCAAAGAGGACATATAACTCTTTCCAAGATGAACTTGAAGATTACATCAAAGAGCAGAAAGCTAGAGGACTAGAACCAAAGACTTGTTTCAGAAAGATGGAAGATAACTCTATGGAAACCCATGGGTACAGAGAAATAGTTGATTTCAGACCTGAACATAGAATGACTGAGCAAAGATGCCCATTTGAGACTTTCCAGACCTACTCAGGTTCATACAATATTTCACAAGCAGTGGAAAAACAGTTACCTCATTGCTCACCAGCTCATGACAGCAAACAGAGACCAGACTCTGTGAACTACTATCAACTCACCAGAGACTGTTTCTCAGAAAAACCAGTACCCCTGAGCCTTAGTCAACAAGAAAATAACTCTGGCCCATACAGTGTAGAATCTGAAGTTTACAAGAATCTCTCCTCAGAAAACAAAACCAGTAACCATCAAGCAAGTCATAAACGGAGACATCAGAAGAGAAAGCGATATCTGGAAGGAGATGAAAAGTCAGAGAAGGAGCAGTCCAAACATAAAAGGAAAAAGAGTTATGAAGATGTGGATTTAGGTGAAGACAAGAACATCCAACAAAGGGAAGGAAAAGTAGATAAAGTCAGTGTCAGTTCAGGAAAGCTTAAACATCGAAAGAAGAAAAAAAGTCGTGATGTAGCCTCTGAGAAAGCAGCACGTAAGCACAGAAAAGAGAAAAAGAAACATGTCGAAGAAAGGACGGAAGAGGAAATGCTTTGGGATGAGTCTATTCTTGGATTTTGAACTTTTAGTTTTGTTTACCCAAGGATGAATTGAAGACATAAGGATATAGATCTAGACAAAGACAAGAGCAGCCAGTGAAGAAAAAAAGAGATACAGTCATGTCAATTCAGCAAAGCTTAAGCATTGAAAGAAGAAATAAAAAAGCTTAAGCCTAGCCTCTGACAAAGAGGGACATAAGCACAGACACCTACCCAGCGGCTCCGAGGGAGAAAGACCTGTGATCTGTTTCCATAAAGATTACAGCCTAGAAAATTCAATGGGGGCAGTTCTGCTCTGTCGCATGGGATCACTGTGAGTCAGAACCAACTCTGTGGTACCAAACAACAGCAAGCACAGAAAAGAGAAACCTGTTAAAAATGGAAGAGGCAATGCTTTGGGATGGGTCCGTTACTGGATTTTGAAACTCTTTAGTTTTGGCATCCCAATGTTGAATTGGAAGAAGTAAGTTGAGAAGTTTGGTTTCATGAAATTCATGTTACTTGAATTTTCCTGGGTGGACAGGTACTTTAACCTCTACCAACAGCCAAGTGAAGTAAAAGTGTTCAATATGCCTTTTCCCCAAGTTGGAAATCACTTTTCTTCGTTTTTTTAAAAACAGAAAAGTTCCATGTTTCTTACATGTAATGTAATTTCCCTTAATGAGGGTGTCTCTACTTGTATTCATTAAATTGCTGTGATGGTAAATTATTTATCCTTGGAGATCATTTATTTTAAATGAGAGAATTACCAGGCATTGAAGAATCCATTCCTTGTTTGGGTTCGTGTTAGTGTTGGTGGCGTTTTATTGTTTTTGTGTGTTTGTTTATGTTTCCTGGTTTCTCCAAGGAAAATGTGTGAAGCAATTTAGACTGAGTTTTTTTTCTTTGTTAAATTTAATTTGCAGTGTATTTTTGTATTTTCTAGTTCTGAAAGTGGAAAGTGAAACAGCTATAATAATAAGTTTAACAATCTATAGTTTTAAAAAGCTCTCAAAAAGTATGGATACAGAATCAGTCTATATTCTGGAAGTGTTTATATTAAAGTATTTTAATTTCTACATATTGTTTTATGTAAATGATCATTTCTCATTCAAAGATGACTTTATTTTGGGAGTGAGAGGCAATAATTGAGTAGTTTGTACTTTTAAGACTTCTGGGGAGATCACTCTGTAAAGTTGTAATAATTGTATTTCTTGTACATCTTGTTTAATAAAAGCTAATATTCAGACTTGAGCCCAGTTTTAGGTAAGAAAAATATGACCAACTAAATACTTGAAACTGAAGAAGGAAAATTTTATAAGCCATCGAGGGCCATGAGGGTGTGTTAACCTTTAAACTGTTTCATTCTGGCCATTTTTGATTCTGGCGTTTTCCCTTTTTATAATAAGCACCTCTTGTAAGCATTGGAGCACCACTGTAGTATAGTAGAAAGAGTAATGGCCTGTGAATGCAAATCCCAGGGTCTGGTCTCAGTGTACCATCAAGTTGCTGTGTGACTTTGTGGAAACACCGTTAGAATCCAACCTGGAATCATCAAGAATAGGAAAATAGACTGTAGTATTCCCCTGATGTATTAATCCTATCGGAAAAGTAAATAAACTTAGGAAGTGATATATCTGTATTTAGGCAAGGCATTTAATAGTGTTTTTTTTTTTCTTTTTTGTGATTGGAAAATGGTAAATATGAGCTGAAGCATAATATAATTGGTTGAATTTATACCTAGTTGAATGACTAGTCCCAAAGAGAGTTGGATCGTTCCCAAATTAACTTTTCTTCCATGAGAATGTTAGTATAAGGTTATTTTGTGCTATAATATCACTTCTTTTCTTTTTAATACATCAGGTGTACTGGTGAAGGAAAGGGGAAAGAAGAGCCAGGGTAGAGGGTGTAGGCTGTCAATAAGTCACAAGAAAAGTCAGATTTCTCTTTTTTCTGAGTATCCCCCCCAGTGCAGCTTTTTCCCACGGAAAGTGCAAAACAATTGTCAATTGATAGCATTTTTAGAATTGCTGAATTCTTTTGCGGAGAAGTCCATTTTGTGTTTACAGCTTGAGGGGAAATTCAGAACTATATATCATAAGAATATTAACTAAGATACCAAATTACTGTAATCTTTTCAAAATAATTTAAATAAATACAGAGGTTCATTAAAATTAGCAGCACACAACTTTATACTGTGTAAAACATTGCAAATTTTAAAAATTAAAACCACTTAAATTGGGTGGTGTGGGTCGGGGGGGCAGGGACATAAGGATGGGGTATTGATTACAGTCTTGGTGAAGTCACCAGTGGCTTACTCTAGAACACTGGTTTTCAAAAATTTTAAGACAGAAACATTTTTGCCAAAAGTTTTATGTTAACCCTACCATAAAATAAATTTTATGTTAACCAGAAAGCATAATTTTCTGGTTGAAGTTGGAGATGAGGGCTTGGAGCCCTACTTTGACACGTGCTTTGCTACCAATTTCTGCCTCTGAGACTCCTTCAGGGAACACATAGAGTTAAGAGTATAAGTCTGAATATTTAAATATATATGCAGGATGGAAAAAAAAAACCACCTTTTTGGAGTTATTATTACATGCTTGGTTTGAAAGACATGCTCATCCAAACAAAATCATATATGACCTTAGGCAAATGTATGGAAGACAGTATTCAGAACAAGCACCTAGCTTCAGAAATATATCCTAAACTGAGTAGAAGGGGCAGGAAGGCAAATTTTGGCTGAAATTGGAAAATAATTTTCAAGAATTGGAATTATAGAAAAAATGGAATTGACTGTCCTGTTACATGCATGCACTGAACAAATAAGAGCTGACTGTCAGCATTATGCTAGGAAGGAACCTGAGAAAAACAAACATAGATTCTGTTCCACAGACAGCTCACGATTGAACGGAGAAAATGGACAAGCAGGCAATTGTAGCATAAATGTTAAAAGTTATAATAGGAGTGATGAAGGGAGCTGTGGGTAGCCGGCGCAACTAGCTTAATGGGTTGGAAAGAGGATATTCAAAAAAGGCTTCGCAAAGGAAGTGACATCTAAGCAGAAGCCTATGAAAGGATGAGTTCTATGTAACAAGTGAAGAAGTAAAGGAAAATGTGTTCTAGCAGAGGGATCACAATATACAAAGATACAGAAGCAGGTAAATAGTTGCTTATCTGGGAAACTAATTTCCTTTGGGTGGCTAGATGAGTCACAAGAGCAAAGACTGGGAAGAGAGGGAGTTTCCTGTTGGCTATCTTAAGGAATTGTATATACCCTAGAACATTGAGAGGCCTTTAAAGAAAACATGATCCATTTTTTCTTTTAGATCACTTCCAGAAAGATCTGAACCCACCCCACCCAAATCATCCTAACACCCATTGACTCCATCTAAGGCAGTGCCACCTATGTTGTTTTTAATTTACTAATAACCACATTTTTAAAAAATAAAAATGAACAGGTGAAATTAATTTTAATATATTGTATTTAATACAGTATACCCAGAACATTATCATTTCAATATGTAATCAACATAAAAATTAGTAATGAGATATTTTACACTTTTGTACTAAGTCTTCAAAATGTGTATATTTTATATGTACAGCATATCTCAATTTGGACTAGCCACATTTCAGGTGCCCAATAGCCACATGTGGCGAGTGGCTTCCTGTTGAACAGTGCTGATCTAGAGAGACTGCATGAAGTTGAGTGACTGATAACCAGACCTGATGTCCAAACTAAAAGTCTGGCTTTTCCCATGAGGGAGCATTTGCTTCCAGTTTCCCAATACTTTTCCAGTGGAAGATACATTAATTTGGGGAAGTACACAATATTAATTGTTATTTTAAATGCAATTTGTCAATCAGTCTTCAAGAATCCATCTAATCAATACTGTATTTTTACGCAAATAGTGCACGCCTTCTACATTTGTTAACCAACTGCTTCTTCCCACAGCGAGGTATTTTCATTAGAGCTGCTATGCCAATTTTTTTACATTCTGCTGTAAAAAACAAAATATTGGCACAGTGCAGTTATGAAAATACCACCCGGGGGGCAGGGAGAGGCGCGGTTGGCAAACAGAAGGCATGTGTCATTTGCGTAAAAATAAGTAGCTGCTTTTTCTATTTTCTTTTTACATATACAAATAATAATAATAGTTACTATTTACTAATTACTTCCAGTATCTGACAGTGCTGAGAAGGTTAGTGGACATTAGAGGCCTGGGATCAGAGTAAAGTGTCTGCAGTCTACAGAAACTTCGGTACCATGTCAGAATATGAATCATACCATGAACAGTTGTTATCTTGGGAAGGGGACTAGGCTTGAGGGACAAGAGAAAATTTTTCACCTTCTAGGCATACAAACCTCTTTACAACAGTAACCAAATATTAATATTCTTTTGGTAAAATAATATTTTGAAAATATGAAATGACTTTCCTCTAATCTGAAGTAGTTCCTGAATGTACTGGCAAGGTTTCTTGTTTCAGGCGTCTTCTGTAAAACTGGTGATTAGGCAGGGATCCCTTACTTTCAAACTCCCACTCTGATATTCAGACTGAAGCCTTTGTTAATATTAATGAGTCCATTTTAAATTTTATCCAAAGGAAACAGTAATAAATTTTACAGTGACAAAGATAATGTACTTTTTTTAAAAAAAGGATAGATAAATGTGGATGGAAACAATTTGAAGAGATAAACATTCAGATTTATGCTATCTCCAAAAGTATGTTATTCATTTATTCGCTCATTCATTCATCCTTCCATTCATTATAGTGTTTGAGTGTCTCCTGTGTGCCAGCCACTGCAGCCTGAACCTATCTCTGCATTCCAACCTTCTCTTTCCTGAGCTCCAGAACTGTATGGTTAATGCTCCACTAAACACGCCCACTGTTTGTGTTCACCTGTATACACACGATTAGGCTTAGATGTCATAGGCCACCAGCATAAACCAGAGTTCCAAAACCCTGGAAGACTACCCTCAAAGAGCAAGGTGAGGGGTATAGAGAAGAGACACCATGATGCTTTAGGCATTTCAAGTATCTTCTCATCCATTTTTTTCTTATGTACTAATTATTTGTTTCCTTTCCCAAATAGGAGCTCATTCCTAAGCCCAAATGGATACAGAGTTAATTAGGAGGTGGCTATTAGGAGATTCCTCTCATGGGCATGAGCTACAGAGTTCAGACACTTGCTACCAAGAGAAAGAAAAGTAGCTCCTTATAGCCAGCAGCTGGTCTGGTACTATACCTAGGCCACGGTGTTACCAGGTGCTGGTATGCCCCTCACACCTAGGCTATGGTATTTTCCTCATGAACATAAAAAATTTCACTAAATAACAACATTAGACAAGGCTACTCTGTGACCATGTTGAAGCAAAACAAAAAAACACTTCATAATCATGACTGAACAAAGACTAAAACAAGAATATTGTTGAAAACACAAAAATGACTGAATATTTATTTTTCTTCGCTAATATTGGTGACTACTGCATCTTTCAAAATTATAGTTTTAGACCTACTTCATTACACCCACATTCTAGAAAAAAATTAAGATATCCAATCTTGACTATCTCCAGTCTAGATAGAAGTCCAACTTTCTTGAACCTTCTCAAAATCACCTAATAAAAGCTAAAATAATGTAGTCATTTCTGATGCTATCTTACTGAGACATTCCACTGCTCCTGATGGTGTACAATCTCCCTTGTTGCAACAAGCCAATAACCCAACTTTGTTTCACTACAGGTGTGTCATTGCATCAACATACAATTGGCCAGTTAGGTATCATTCAGATTACCCTACATGCCCAATTGCTGGTTAGCGGATATCTACCCAGGATTTCTTCAAAGGTGAACCAGGTCATGGAGTAAATATCTGATAAGCTCCTCTTCACCTGGATAACCACACTTTATCTTTCAGGATTTAGTAAAAACATAACTTCCTGTGGGAAGCCGCCTTCAACACACGTGAGACCAGTTGAATGATTCTACTATCTGCTCCTACAGAGCCCTGTATTTCCCCCGTCAAATCACCTGTAATGTTTTATCATTTCACTAGTCTCATGGTCTGTCCTCCATTAAGTCCCTCTGCACTACATTGTACTTACTGGTTCACACAGACTCTCAAAGGCATTACCTCATAAACTTTTTTAGAAAGAGGTTCATCACTTAGGACAAGTGAGGAATGGAACCCTTGAGATGTTAGCAGGGCTTCAAACTGGTTCAAACTGGCTCGGTCAGGGCCAACAAAATGAAACTGGAACAGACCTGAATTTTTAAAATTTGGTTGATCCAGAACCATAACTGAAACAGGAAAAATTATGGGTTGAAGCCCTGCAGGAGCCTGATGCGTGAGATTGGATTAATGCCAAGACTGAGGAGAGTGACACACATTCAAAGCCGTTCAGTCAGCTGCCATCTTTGAGCAGGGCACCCCTGTTTCCGTCTCTGTGCAAAATCCGATGGGCAAGAGATTTGATTGCGATGCAACGTATACAGTGCCCTTGTTTTCTAAGAGGGATATTAAGTTTCTAGCAGGGCTTTGACTCGTAATTTTTCCCATTCCAGTCATGGTTCTGGTTCACCCAAATTATATAAAAATTCTATAAATTTGAGTCTATTCCTCAGCCATGACTGAACCAGAAAGAACCAG